TTATTTATTTTTGAGAGAGAAAGAGCATGAGCAGGGGAGGGGCACAGAAAGGGAGAGAGAATCCTAAGCAGGCTCTGAGCTGTGGGTTTGAACTCACCAACCATGAGATCATGACAAGAGCAGAAATCAAGAGTCAGACGCTTAAGGGACTGAGCCCCCGGGACTGCCCCTAGGAAAGTTTGGTTTAACCTGTAGGTCCCTGCATCTCCATGGCCCAAGGAATGAGGTCAAAGTGTGGGGATTCACAGAAGGGCCCCTGTCAGGGTGCCTGGGAAGGGGGAGAGGAGACGAGGTGGGGGGAGCTGGGGCTGGAGGGGGGTGCCTCCGTCACTGACTCCTTCTCCCGTAGCCTCTGAGGAGGAGAGCAGCGCCTCGCGGCCAGCCCAGCCCCTCCCCAGCACGCAGACGTTCGCCTTCCAGACGCAGATCCGAAGGTAAAGGGAAGGCGGACCTCCCCGCCACAGCCCACCACCCCGCTGGCCCAGCCTCCCTCCCCACTTGGCGCCTCCACCCAAGTTTGGTTCAGAGCCTCTGTGCCGTCCTCCCCCTTCCCGGAAGGCTCTGGTCACCTCCCGCTGGGCTTGCTTTACTGATACTGGGAAGGAGGGTGCGTGGGGGGTGTCCTCACAAGCCTGGCCGGTGCCCCCTCGCCCAGGGGCCGCTTCAGCGTGGTGCGGCAGTGCCGGGAGAAGGCCAGCGGACGCGCGCTGGCCGCGAAGATCGTTCCCTATCGCCCCGAGGACAGGACTGCCGTACTGCGCGAATACGAGGCTCTCAAGAGCCTGCGCCACCCGCACCTGGCCCAGCTGCAGGCCGCCTACCTCAGCCCCCGGCACCTGGTCCTCATCTTGGAGCTTTGCTCGGGACCCGAGCTGCTCCCCTGCCTGGCGGAGAGGTGAGGGGTGGCCTGCTTGCTGGTCCCGGGGCGGGAATGTAAAGAGCGTCGGAGCGCGGAGGGGAGCGCGCTGCGTACCACCTCCGGACTCCGCCTCCACCGACCAGCCCACGTCCCGGAGCTTTAGCAGAGCGGGGGTGCCCCTCCCAAGGCCACGGGCAGGGCTCGTGTCTCCGCGCCCCTTCTGCCGTGGACAGAGCCGAGTCCCTCTTCTCACGCGCCCCCAGGGTCTCCTACTCAGAGTCGGAGGTGAAGGATTACCTATGGCAGATGCTTAGCGCCGCCCAGTACCTGCACGCCCAGCGCATTCTGCATCTGGACCTCAGGTCCGAGAACATGATCGTCACCGAATACAACTTACTCAAGGTCGTCGACCTGGGCAACGCCCAGAGCCTCGCCCAGGAGAAGGTCCTGCCCTCCGAGAGGTTCAAGGACTACGTGGAGACCATGGGTGCGCGGGGAGCGGACGCCAACCTGACCTGGGGGGAAGGGTGGGCCAGGAGGAAACCCCGCCCCCAGGCCTGCGTCCCTCCCCAGCCTCTCACCTATGCCCTGACCTGTACTCCCAGCTCCCGAGCTCCTGGAGGGCCAGGGTGCCGTCCCACAGACCGACATCTGGGCTATAGGCGTGACAGCCTTCATCATGTGAGTTCTCCAAGCGCAGGGGCGGAGGCGGGGGGAGGGACTGGGCATCCACGGAGGGTTCTCCCAGACCCCCCGCTGTCCCCCCACACACACACACCCGATGGTTACCTGAGTCTCCTGATCCCCCACGCGCGCAGGCTGAGCGCGGAGTACCCGGTGAACGGTGAAGGGACACGCGACCTGCAGAAAGCCTTGCGCAAGGGGCTCATCCGTCTGGGTTGCTGCTACGCGGGGCTGTCCGGCGGCGCGGTGGCTTTTCTCCGGAGCACGTTGTGTGCGCACCCCTGGTAAGGTGGCCGTCCTGTCCGTCGCATCACCTTGCGCTCCACCCCGAGCCCAGCCCTCCCACCCCGCCTGGCCCACGCCCTACGTCCCTTCTCCGCTCGGCCTCCGCTCCCAGAGCTCAGCTGGTACCGTTTCCCTCTCTCCAGGGGCCGGCCGTGCGCGACCAGCTGCCTACAGTGTCCATGGCTAACAGAGGAGGGCCCTGCGGGCTCCCAGCCCGCGGCTGTCTCCTTCTCCACTGCGCGACTTCGAGCCTTCGTGCGCGAGCGAGAGAAGAAGAGGGCGCTGCTGTACAAGAAGCACAACTTGGCCCAGGTGCACTAAGCACCCGGCCTGGCAGAGAGGGGGTGTGTGTGATGGGGGGGTGGGAGGTCGCCCTTCTGGGCTGCGCCCCTCAGTCTCCGCTCTAGGACTCGCTGTATATGAACAGACAGGCCAATAAAAAAGCAGAACCGGATGAAGTGTTATCTCTTTCTTTGTGGGTTTGTTTGGAGAAGGAGGAGAGGGTTCCGCCACCTCACTTGGAGGTTGGGGGCCAATCAGACAGCAGAACTGCCTTTCCCTGTGGAATGGGTGGAAGTCAGGCATCCTGGTTCATGGAGTGGGGCAGCCAGGGCACCCTCAATGGAGGTGACCGGCTCATCCAGCTTACAGTCCTGGGGAAACTGGGACAGTTGGTCCCCAGCCTCGCCCCACCAGCTGGCCCCCAAGGCACCTCTCCTGGGCTCCTGGATGCTCCAAAGTGCATGGATAGAAAATCATCAGCTTGGCCCCCATTGTCACCTCCCTGGCCTGGTGTGGCCTCCAGAATTGGCCACAGCAGCTCTATCTCAGTCGGAGGCAGAAAGGAGCCTGGTGGGTGACCAGCAGTCCCCCCCCCCCCCAGAGGGAGGCAGAGGTGGATTCTTATACAGGAGGGCCGTAGAGGCTGAAGAAGGATCCTGAACCAGAGTCCCCCCAACCCCCTGCCTCCTGCTCCTGCTAGATGTTCTGGCCACTCTCACCAGGAAATCTCATTTGGAAAGAATGTGTGGTTCTGATGTGCCATGAGCACTTGCTGCCTTGTTTGATCTCTACCAGTTCTAATTCTAGTTTCGGTTAGGAATGGCCTCCCTCCAGCACTCCCTTCTGGAACAGGTCCACTGTGCCCAGGGAGTCTGAGCCCTCTACTGAGAGTCCCTCCACAGTCCTGTAGCCCTGACCACTCTTGTTCAGACACACAGTGAACACACCTCTAGTCTCAGTCCTCATGATCTACATCTGAGCCCACTCCTTCCTCTCCATCACATGCTCATCCAGCCCCAGCTGGCTTGGCTCTGCACATGGGGACCCAGGTGAGACTTTGAGCAACCTGTCTTCTGAGACTGCATTTCTTTGGTAACCTCCTCTGTGTGATGTTCTGGGATGATATGTCCTTGTCTAAGCCTGTTTAGATCTAATTTTGCAGGGTCAGCCCAGCTCCAACTAGCACATGTTGAGAGATACTCACTGGGGCTGCAGAGAGGCAATGTCTCCTCCAGTGGTTCAGCTTCCCTCAGTTCTTGCTGGTGGCTGGCCTAACTTCCCAGCAAACCCAGGTGTCCTTGAGAGTTCTATCTTGTTACTCTGCCCCTGTGCTTAGTGCACAGTGGCTAGTGCGTCCTCACAGCCTTGTTTTGGACTTGCCCTTTCTAATGTCATGTGGCATGATCCATGACCCTTTTCCCAGACTGAACCCTGTTGAATGAACTCACTCAGCCCCAAAGTCCCTGCATTTATCTGTTATGACTATTTCGTTGGTAAGCTGTTTCTAAAGATCAAATCTAACACAACTTGTTTTTAACAGTTGTGTTGTACTTTAGGATATGGTAACTTTTTAAAATGATTTTTTTAAAGTTTATTATTTTGAGAGAGGGACAGAGTGGGGCAGAAGAAGGGAGAGAGACAATCAAACAGGCTCCATGCTCAGCAAGGAGCCTGACACAAGGCTTGATCCCATGACCCTGGGATCATGACTTGAGCAGAAATCAAGAGTCAGATGCTCAACCGACTGAGCCACCCAGGTGCTCCTGAATTTTGAAGATTATGTGTGTATTCTGAATATTAATCCTTTGTGAGATATGTGGCTTACAAATATTTTCTTCCACTTTGCAGCTTTTTTCCCCATCCTTTTAACAAGGCCTTTCAAAGAGCAAGTTTTAATTTTTTAGGACAGTAATTTTTATTTTTATTTCTTTTGTTAGTACTCTTTATGCCCAGCATGGAGCCCAATGTGAGGGACCCAAACTCATGACCCTGAAAGCCAGACCAGATCAAGATCAAGAGTCAGATGGCTAACCGACTGAACCACCCAGGCACCCCTAGAACGATTTATTTATTTATTTATTTATTTATTTATTTATTTATTTATTTTAAAACAAATAGACATGGGGGGGGAAAGAGAGGCAAACCACAGTCTTTTTAGTGTTTATTTTTGAGAGAGAGAGAGAGAGAGAGAGAATGAGCAGGGAGGGGCAGAAAAAGAGAGAGAGAGAGAGAGAGAGAGAGAGAGAATCTGAAGCAGGTTCCAGGCTCCCAGCTGTCAGCACAGAGCCTGATGTGAGGCTGGAACTCACGAACCCTGAGCTCTTGACCTGAGCCAAAGTCTGACGCTTAATTGACTGTGCCACCCAGGCGCCCCCAGATTGGGTAAATTCTATTGTCATATCTTCCGGTTCACCAGTTCCATTCTCTGTCCCCTTCATTCTGCTGTTGAGCTATATTTTGGTTATTGTATTGTTCAGTTCCAAAATTTCCATTTGGTTATTCTTTATGTCTCTACTTCTTTCCTAAGACTCTCGATTTTTTTGCTGAAACATTTGACTTATAACTTGTTTCATGTGTGTTTGTAATTTTTGTTGAAGTATTTTTATCATAATAGCTTTAAAACATTTATCAGATAATTCCAACAATATTGTCATGTCAATATTGGTGCCTATTCCTTGTCTTTTTTTTTCGTTTTCCACTCATTTTGAGATCTTCTTAGTTTTTGGTTCTTAGTTATGACAAGTTATGACTTTTTACTGATATGTGGACACTTTCATAACATGTTATGAGACTCTGGTTCTTATTTAAGGCTTCTGTTTTAGCTGCCTGTAATATAAGAAGAAGTATATGTGGTCTTTGTCCTACATTCCTGGCACAGAGTCCCTAAAATTCCAGGCTCCTTGGAATTTCCTGAGTGATGCAAATGTTTTTTTGTTACTCCTGAAGAGTTCCTTTAGAGCACACCTTAGTTTATGCTAATGAAGTGACTTAGGTTGGGAACCATGGGTGGCCTCGGGATGACCAAAAGGGCCAAGTGCCTAGAGGATTGGAACTTCCATCTCTATCCCTGATCTCTGGGGAGGGGAGGGGGCTGGAGTTCGAGCTCTATAAAATCGCTTGAACAACGAGATTCCAAGAGCTTCTCGGTTGATGAACACGTCAACTTGCCGGAAAGGGTGATGCCCCAGAGAGGGTATTAAAGCACCATCCTGCTCCTGTACCTTTCCCTGTGCCTCTCTTCCACCTGGATGTTCCTGAGTTGTATCCTTTGTAGTAAACTGGTAAACCTAAGTGTTTCATGAATTCTGTGAGCCACTCTAGCAAATCATCAAACCTGGGGAGGAGCTTGTGGGAGTCTCCAATTTATTGTTGGTTGGTCAGAAGTACAGGTGGCCTAGGACTTGCACCTTGCATTGTAAGTGGGAACGACTTGTGGGGTCTGGACCTTTAACCTGTGGAATCCGATGTTAATTCTAGGTATGCAGTGTCAAAACCAAATTGAATTGTTGGCTGCCTAGCTGATGTCCAGAGAATAAGAGAATTGGTTGTTGGTGATGGAAAGCAGCCCTGACTGGCTGTCTCCAACACTACTCCAGCAGAGGAAGGTTTGATGTCACCTCATTACTGCCTGGCAGAGGGAGAAGGGGTACCACTGACATTGCTGGCAGGGTGGGGGCTCTAGTTACTGTTGAACAGAGGTGGGCATTGCAGCTACCCTCTGGTCTCCTCTGACTCCCAGGTATTGCACAGCAAGGCTGAAAGTCCAGCTCCCCACTTGGTCTTTTATGGAACTCTCCCAGAAGGGGTGGGTTTGAGAAGGCTCATTACCGCCTGGCTGCGGCCAAAGTCTGGGATATTCAAGTTTTCTGTCCTGCTAGGCTGTTCCTGTCCTGGTCCTATGGCTAGAAGGAGTAGGCTTTTGGGGGACATTTTTTTTTTGTCAGTGCTCATTTGTGTTTCTGAGTTGTTGGCTTCTTGTTCTCCAAGTCTGGGATACATGAGGGAAAAAGAAAATGCAGGAAAATCACCATGGTGTTGTTCCTAGGATCACAAGTTCCCTATGGTCCACCTTGTGTCTCTACCTTTCAAGGTTGTTGTAGGCTTGTGCCCCACCCCCCCAAATTATATGTTCAATTCCTAACCCCCCAGACCTCTGAGGTGACTATATTTGTGGCAATATTTGGAAATAGGGTGTTTAAAGTGTTAATTAAGGTACAATGAGGTCACTAGTGTGGGCGCTAACCCCACAGGACTGGTGTCATTATAAGAAGAGGAGATCAGGACACAGGCTGGCACAGATGGATGACCATGTGAGGACACACCAATGAGAGAGGGGCCTCGGGAGGAACTATCTGTGACCATACCTGGATCTCAGACTTCCAGCCTCTGGGAGTGGGGAAAAGTAAATGTCTGTTATTTAAACCTCCTAGTGTTTATTATACAGCCTGAGTTGACTAGCATAAGGGTCTTCTTATGTTTGTTTTATATGTAATTTCTGAGCTCTTATTTGTATCTAGTGAAGGGAATAGTAAGAAGCTCACATACTCTATTGTCTTCAGAAGTGAGGGTCCTTTAGTTACCATTTTGGAGTATCTCACTTTCTTTAACCCAGGTGTTCAACCACTGATTAACGGGTAAAGAAGATGGGGTCCATGCATACAATGAGATATCACTCAGCCTTAGAAAACAAGGAGAGCTTCCCATTCACTTGTGACAACATGGAAGGGCCTAGTGGGTATTATGCTAAGTGCAATAAGTCAGAGAAAGGCAAATAAGATTTCACTCATACCTGGAACTTAAGAAACAAAGCAAATGAACAAAACAAAGAGAAAAGAGACAGACAAAATAACAGATTTTTAAATACAGAGAACAAACTGGTGGTTGCCAGAAGGGAGGTGGGGGGGCGGGAACGGGTGAAATAGATAAAGTACAAATTTGCAGTTACAAAATAAAGAAGTCGTGGAGATGAAAAGTAGAACAGTAAGATTTTAATAACATTGTTTGGTGACAGATGGCAACTATACTTATTGTGATGAGCA